TTTAGTTGCTGTGGTTGTTGTGTTTGTTGTTGTACAATGAGCGCGACTGCGGCTGCTGCTGGTGCTGCTGGCTGAAGCTGCTGCCTGCTGCCTGCTCCTGCTGTTGCTGCGACTACAACAACGACGACGACGGCAACGACATCACGACACGACAACGACTGAAACTGAAACTGAAGCCAACAGCAGCGTCTGAGCTTTCAAGTGTCGAGTCGACAGGCGGCGCCACAGTGCCACCCACTAGTCGCCGCGAAGGAGAGACAGAGAAAGGTAGAGGGAGAGAGAACGAGAACGAGAGAGCGAAAGGGAATAGCAGTTGCTGCTATTGTCGTCAGCGCTTGCCTCTTGCTCCTCACTCGACCGACCGACCGACCTACCTGCCTCCCTCGCTCCGACTCGCTTACTCGCTCTCTATCATTCTATCTCTTCGCTGCGCTCTCGTCGTGGTGAATAAGCCAAGGGAGTTATTAGCCGTGCTGAAATGTGTGGACAAAGCGCAAGGGCAGGATAGGGTACAGTTAGTGTGCTGCTTCTGTTATGAGTGCCTTTTCATATTTCATGTGCAATTTTAACACCTACTACAGACTAAAGACGATAATAAATGTAGGCACGTGTGTGCGTCAGTTTGAGATGCGTTCTCCCCTCTCTCGCCCTCTCTTTATCATTATCTTTATCTCTCTCTCTCTCCCTGTCTTTATCTCTGATAACTTTAAAATCCGCCGTTGGTCTTGCCTCCAAATATAAACACCAAACATGATGTTGCATATTCATCAAGTTCGGTTGTATGTCGTCCCATGTTGTTGTTATTGTTACCATTCTGTTCTGTTATTATTGTTGTTTCCACATTACCGCAATCTCTGTTTGATTGCAATCCTGGCTTGAATAGGTCACAAAAACACAACCACAAGAAAAACAAAAAATCAAGTAAAAATATTCCACTCGCTTAAGACAGCTTAATACTCTATTCACAGGTTGAAAATGATTCTTAACTTCTTAACATAACCTCCTTGTATAAACTATACAATTATCTTAGCAATATTTTATAGGTTCAAATTAAGAAAGAGCAAATTTTCCGATATAAATAAATCGCCCTCATACTTTAAACGCGCAGTAACTATCAACTTTTTTTTGAGACGAGCCCGAAAATGTAAATGCTGGATAATTTTGGAAGATACAGATTGGGCTCCAATTCCCTATCAGATACATATTTATTATATATATACATGCGCCGACTTGGATCGCATGCCCGCTAAGCAACTAAAAATATTTATTGACGCCAACATCAAATATTTTAGTAACAGAACTGGAATACGTGAAATTTCAGACAAATGAATATTTTAGATTGTTTGCTTTATAATATTATTTGTCGATGAACAGTTGCTTCAAACAAATAATCTTTTGTTTATACTTCGCAAACGAGAATCTTTAGTGGCCTTATATGTAATGCGTATATTTATACAAATGTTTTCAAAATATAAAAACAAATATAGTTTTTTGGCTATAAAAGCTGATGCTCAGGCATCTCCAATCAGTTCGTTGAGATGAGAGTCCACACCCTGATCTTTGGCTTTGCCATCTTAACCATTTGCTTAATAAGAGGCAGCGATGGCTACTGTGCAGTTCCTGGCGCTTGCACCGTTGGGGAATGTGCGCTTCCTGAAAATGCCGATGACCCCAGTTGTATACGTCCAACTACGGTCGGATACGAATACGACACCACTGAATCACCGAGATGGCGTAACAAATTTCCGAGATGGTTTGGAGGCAAATTTCCGATTATCATCAACTTTGGTTACATTGGAAAAAAATTTAAATAAAAAGTGAAAGTAAACTGGAAAAGTACCTAAATACTGACTTGATAGTTTTTTTTAAATTTGTGTTTGTCCGGCATATTGTCCAATCGTTGCTCTCTCCCTGCTTGAGCGCTCTTCACATCGTATATTCCTGGAATTTCAAAACATGGATATATGCAATCAATGCAATGAGAGCGTACTAGAAAATTCAAGTACTAGATTTATATACATGCTCAGATGCAGTGCGCAATGTTTAACATACGGTATTATCAATAATACTAGAGATAACATATACTAATGCATTTAATCTTACAGAGAATTTTATTCTTTTCACGATGAAAAAAAGTTTTGCTCTATTTCCAAAAACAACAATATGAGTGATTTATTCAAACGGTTGACTAAAGAGATGAGAAAAAAATGGAAAGCAAAACAAAAGCAACCAATGTAACAGAATCACTCTTAAGTTATAGTCTGCGAATAATATAGCAATACAAAATGCAAAAATTTTCAAATCGGTGCAGATCAGTGAAAGTTTAGCTACAATGGTAAGTGGTAAGCCTATTTGCAACGAAATCAGAGTATTGATTAGAGATTATTTTAAATCTGGGAAGACATGGAGATCAGCAAGCAATTAAACGTTTAGATCGCCTGTGCATGGGGTGATCAAAATTAAAAAAAATAATAATAAATAAATAAATAAACATTATGGCGAATAGAGGTCGATCGTCACCAATCTTTAAGCAAAACTGTCAAGCGAGAATTGACGCGACTGCATTTTAAAAATATTGCTTATGCTTTTTATAAGGCACGTTTTGTTTTTACCTATGGATCGTACGACGCTTCGTCAAAAAAGAAACGCTTGGGGTTGGGAAAGGATGTCTTGGGCTCAAAGGCAATGAGATACCATCACATTTAGCGATTAAGCTTTAAGCTCAATTTGATGTTAGTTTTGGCGATTCAAGAAAACGTGTCATCCATAAAAGTGCTGAAGCAAACAATAAATAAAATAAAGTTTCCTGCGAGCACTGTGGGATGGGGATGTATGTCTGCCAAAGGATTAGGAAAACTGTATTTCATTGAAGAGACGGTGAATAAAAATACATTAATATTTTAAAAGACAGTTTTCAGCCATCAATACCAGAACTGGAACTTTTCAGCATCGCGCACAGCCAAACGAACCAAAAATGGCTGGAATTAAATGGAGGTTTTAGATTGACCATCAAATAGCCCAGACTAAGCCTAATTGAAAATATTTGGTGGTATTAGCCACCATCAATAAAAGGCAAGCTTCGAAATGAGCCGCAAAGAAACGTTTCTGACTTGAAAATCAAGTTGCAAGAGATGTGGCACTCAATTTCTCAAGAACATTGCAAAAACTTCTTCAAATCAATGCCAAACGAGCTAAAGGCGTAATGCAGGATAAGGGCGAGGTTACACGATTCCAATATTAATAAAATCGCAGTAAATCACATTACGCAACGTTCGAATTAATAGTGGTCAATTTTTTCTTATCTCTTAAGTCAACCGTTTGAATAAATTACTCATATTGTTGTTGTTTTTGGAAATAGAGCAAAACTTTTGTTTATCGTGAAGGGAATAAATTCTCTTTAAGATGAAATGCATTGGTATATGTTATCTCTAGTAGTATTGATAATACAGTATGTTAAACATTGCGCACTGCAAATAAANATATGGGAAGGACTAGAAAAGGAAGCATGTAATTAGCTCCAACGAGTACGTGGCTCTTTGGAAGTTATATGCACTTAAGATTTTATAAAATATGTAAGACAAAATTTACAATACATACACAATACAACCATCGAAGGATATTTTGTGTAACTTTAAATTTTGTGGCATAAGTACTATTTCTAGTATTAGAATAAAGCAATTTATGAGCCATATTTCGTTTTTTTTTTTTCATTTTCCTTCGTTTGAAAACAACCAATGTATCTAAATATAATGGTATAACAATTCAAATTATGTGTAATATTATAATATTTAGTCTACTCTATGTACATTGCCAAGGTTCTTTAAGACTGCTACTCAGCAGGTACCATATTTTGATCCAAATCTGGCTTAGTATCATCTGGATCCAAGCTCAAGCATTCTGCAAAGTAATGCTCCATTGAAGAGTATACATGCTCTAAGACTCCATTTAGTTCATGACCTTCATCAGCATAAGTCTGTAAATAAAAAAATATTTTTTTTCGTTGGGTTTATTATAAAAGTTTACAAAGCCTTACCTGATATCTATATAATATATTTGCTTCTGTTAATGATTTAGCTAATTGAACACCATGGACGTAGGGTGCTGTAGAGTCTGCTAAGCCGTGAATTAAAAAAAAAGAATTTGATTTAATAAGTCGAGCACGTTGAGTTGCATCAGCTTCTACGTATCCTTTATAGTTTTCCGCAGGTAGACCTAATATGCGTTCAGTAAAGGCAGAATCTAAAATCATTTATATTGATTAATGGATGAACAATATTAATTAGTATTAAATCAGTATTTCTTACTATAATATAACCAATCAGCTATAGGGGAAATCGATATGCCGCACTTAAAGACATCTTGCTGAGTTCCCAAAACCATAGATGTCACATATCCTCCATAGCCCCAGCCCCAAATACCAACTCTTGTTTCGTCCAAGAAGCTTATGGTATCCAATAGATATCTTAGCATTGAGACAAATTTAAATTTGTTGTTATTGTAAATGACGCTTATATACATTTTTAAATTATACTCACCTTAAAACAGATATTTGATCTTGAACTTCGACTCCCCCCAAATGACGATATAAAGACTTTTTACTTTGGCCTTTTGCTCCTCTGACATCCAAGCGCACATAAATAACATCATTTCTTGAGGACATGTATGTTCCCCAATCTATTTTAAACTTTTCAGAAACAGACTCGGAACCCGGTCGGCCATTGCTATAAAATAATGGGAAAATACACGAATAAAGTTCCCTATTAAAAAAGGAATTTTTTTAAAACAAGGCAGAAAACTCTAATCGGGAAATGACCAACTAAGCAATTCCCAACATCGGTATTCGAACTTGCAACGGCGCTTATAGCAAATCTCTACGAGCCCAAAACACCAATAATTCGAAATCAGATTATTGCTTAGGGATTATTTTAAATCTGGGAAGACACTTACGGAGATTAAGTTTGTCTAAGTCTGTGCAAGGTGCATGTGCATGGTGATAAAAATGTTCAACAAAAATATGGGAATATTGAAAATAACATTGCGAATTGAGGCCGAACATCAGCAAGAACACCCCGCGATAAAATACAACTGGTCAAAATTATTAAGGCTGATCGTCGCCAATCTTTAAGAAATTTGGCTTCTGAGTGGTCGCAGACAATTGGCAAAACTGTCAAGCGAGAATTACCGCGACCTCATTTAAAAAATATTGGATAAGGTTTTTATAAAGTATGTTTTGTTATTACCTATGCTCGTACCCAATAACTTATCTTACTCGTAGGCCAAGGAAAACCCCTTGCTTACGTTTCGTCAAAAAAGAAGCGTTTGCAATGATCTCGGGAAAGGATGCAATCAAGCAATGAAGCTAAATTTGATGTTTGTGTCGGCGATACGAGAAAACACGTCATCATCGTAAAGACTGCCTAAAAAAACAATAAAGTTCCCTGCAAGCACTATGGTATGGGGATGTATGTCTACCAAAGGATTAGGAAAACTGCATTTCATTGAAAGGATTGATATTATACATATTATTTTTGTCGAACCCTGAACCCATTTTCAATGGGAAATCAGAGTATAATGTTTTTGTTTAAATGTATATAACAGGCAGAAGGAGGCGTGGCAGACCCCACAAAGTATATATATTCGTGATCAGGGCGACGAGCTGAGTCGATTTGGCAATGTCCGTCTGCCCGTAAATGTCCGTATTTACGATATCGATATTTCATTAAAAACATAATAAAAAAATCGAGTTTATCATTAAAAATCGATAACTCATCTCAATCTTTTTTATCGATAAAAACCTTATCGAAAAYCAGTTATAAAATTATATCTATATATAAATTTACGCCCGACTCCTATATCCACCCGCTCACCAACATATTTGTAAAAGGCGTATTTCAAATATTAGAGACTTGTACATTGGCAAATGCATGCATATCCATGTTATAATCATGTGTGTTAAAAATGATGGAAACAGCTATTGCTCGAAGGGTTCAGAGGATCTCGTCCGGCAGTCTCAACTAGAGCTTTTTTAATTGTTTAAAATCAAATCAGCATTATTTAAAGTGTTTGAAAGTAATTGAATAATATTGGCACATACAATTCGTACACTGCCGAGGAGAAAATTGATTTGATTGAGCTCGATAATCGTGTGTCAATTTTCGAATAAAAATATAATTCATAACACGTATGAAAGCTCTAGTCGAGACTGCTCGAGTACAAGATCCCCTGAAACCTTCGAGCAACTGATATTTCAATGATTCTTCGCGTCTTTCTGCTTACGCAAGAGACAACACATGCACACACACACATACGCACGAACGGATAAAGACGCATTAGCTGCAGTGTGGGCCTACTATTAAAACTTAATTGTTTAATAACGCGTGACATACGTGCGTGTGGATGCGTGTGTATGCATGTGTGTTCAGGGTATCTCCTAGTCGAGCAGTTTCGACTGGAGCCTTCTTACTTGTTTCTTATCTTTTAAGTCAACCGTTTGAATAAATTACTCATATTGTTGTTGTTTTTGTAAATACAGCAAAAATTTTTCATCGTGAAGAGAATAAAATTATCTTTAAGAAGAAATGCATTGGTATGTGCTATCTTCAGTAGTATTGATAATATAGTGTGTTAAACATTGCGCACTGCAAAAATTCAGTTCGAATTATTAGTGGTTTGGGCTTGTAGCGGTGACGGTATTTTAGTACCAATATTTAATTTCCATCAACAGTTGAGAATTCAAAAACATTTTAATGGCAATTGTAAATTTTCGAATATGCCTGAATTTGTGTGTACATGCATAAAATGTTTGAATGTAGGTGTGCACACGCTTGCTCCATATGCTAACCTTTAATTGTGACTGATTTAATGGAATTAAATGAAGCGTTCAACATTTAATTCTGTTAAATATTTGACATTTTATAAAAATTTGAATCGACAAGTCGATATGCGCGTGCTATTCAGCGATCTACAAATACAAGGATATACTTCTTATATTGACGAATTCATACATATGGACAGACGGATATGCGGAAATGGATATAGAAAAATATACATGTCGACTCTCATTATTTCAAACCTGCGATATTTCGAACCTCTCATTAATTCAAAGTAATCACGAGTCCCTTACAAATTCTCTTTCGAATTATGTTCATGCACTCAGTAATTCGAACTACAAAATCTTTGCTAAGACGCGGTAATTCGTACTCATTTGGTCAAACACTCGAAAATTCAAATTTCAAGTTGGAGTGTTAGTACGAACTTTGAATTTCAATTTGGGGACTCTCCTGAACTACGAGTACTGTGCGTGGTTGCGTGTTATACATATTAAAATTTTTAAGAAATATGAGTCCTAAAAAGTATAAAAGTTTGACGATTGCTAAAAAGAAATAAATAATGAAACAAGTGAGAAAGCTCTGGCTGGCTGCAATGTAGGCTTACTTTGGAAACTTAACTGTTTAATATATTTTATGGTAGATAGACTTTCTTCATGAAACTTTTAGATTGTCATTGCGTGCATTTTCCAAAGCACAAGTCTTTACTATTTTACATTTGTAGGTGAGGGGAAGAATTTAGGGGTGGGCGAAAATTTAACAAAAATGTAAATTCAATAAAATACATATGAGTCTACATTTAAAGTTTGGAGACTTTAGCTCTTAAGGTATAGGAGATATAATTAAATATTATATTTTCGATAAGGGTTTTAATCGATAAAAATAACGGAAAGTGCTATCGATATTTGGAGATAAATTCGAAATGCGCGCTATGTATAGACAGACAGATGGACAGGCCTCAGCTCGTCGCTCTAATTAAGAATAGATGTATATACTTTGTGTGGTCTGCCACGCCTCCTTCTGCCTGCTATATACATTTCAACAGAAACATTATAGCCTGAAAATATCAACCATGAGTGTCGGACCAAACCCTTATGAATAAGTTCTTTTCAAAGATAATATAATTGGAACATACATTACAAATATTTAAAATAAAAAAATAAATAAAATTCGAAGTTTTATTCATTTTTTCTAAAAATTTCGAAACATTTAATATTTCGAGCATTCGATAATTCTTAGTATTTTAAGAGTCCCTTGAATTTCGAAATACCGAGAGTCGACTATATATGTATACTATTATAAATAAGTGCATAGTTGTAAATTTTATAATCTGTAAAGAAATAAATCTTCTCGTAAGAAATTATTGGTACCTACACTTCGACAACAACAGGAAACGCTGCATCTCGGAGTTCTTCTCGCCAGCTTGGGGGCAAAAGCAATTGCACTTGCGCACGACTACCATGAGGTAATGGTATTTCAAATGATCTTTGTATTGGTAATGCTAATTTTTGTAACCTTTCTGTGTAAAATGGTCGCGTATCATACAGGATTTTCACAAGGCTGTGCGTCCTCTGAGTATGCACCCCAGATACCGGTAATCCTGGACCTTGACACTCAAGAATATAGAAATCAATTCCATAGTTCGTTGCTAATCCATTTGATGGTGTTATGAAGGCGTCAAAATGGGAACAATTTGTATAATAATATCTACTACTCCATAAAGCTTCGCCTAAATCGCACGTTATGCACTGTGGCTCACTTCTGGTATTTAAAAATAAATTGCATTCATTATACTAGAATTAAATAAATTTAATACACTCGGCTTACTTTCTGGTATCATCATGCACGGGATCCTTCACTGAATACAAATGTCTTTGCCCAGGCTTCTTATCTTGAGTAGCAAGATAATACACTATATGATTCGTTGTATCCCAACATAAGATTTTTAAAACCTTTTAAACAAATATAATAATATTATTGATTTCATAGTTCTTTAAGAAAATACCTCATAACGGCCATGGGATATTACAGAAATTCTTTGCTGCGATATTGTTATATGTTTTATGTGAGTAAAATGATCGTTTCCGGATTCCTGAACGCCGGCTAGCAGTAAAAAACTGTTTCCATCTGGAGCAAATACAGGATGCGGAAAAATATCTAGCCATTCATCTTCGGGTGCGCGCTCAGAATGAATCTTGAAAATTAGTGAGTGCTGGTGAATTATATTTATTATATTATTAATACTACACCTACTTCTGCACATGACCAATTTGTATCCTTTGAGCACGTTGCTATTATACTATAATTTTGAGAGCGCACCATGTAAACTACAGATACTTGATTATTGCTACCAGATACCCAGCCAGCTGATGTTAAGTAATAATCTCTATGAAAAGAAAATTATTAATAATACACGCACATTTCGTAGACTTTGGTGCAAATATATTTACTTACTGTTTAAGGAGGGAAGGCGGCGGCATTAACTTCACTTTATTTATGGACGTAAAATTCGTTATGTCGACTATCCACAACTGAACTTCTGGATTGGCAGTACCTGGTGTTGGGTACCGTACATTTTTGGTTTCAGGAAATGAGCTTCCTGATGACATACCACTACCAGCAATTATGGCGCCAGATGATAGCCATGGATATGTCATCATCCCGACATGACTATCGTTAAATGAGGCGAAAATAAAGTGACTTCCATCAGTGGATGACCATATAGCTTCCGGTATATCAAAAATTTCCTCTAAAAAAATATAAAATATA